GCCATGTAACTATGGGGAGAAGTGGTTGGGTTCTGGGTATATTCTGAAGGTAGAGCCAAAAGGATCTGCCAACAGATGGATCTGCCAACAGATGTGTGTGAGAGAGAGTGAGCACAATTAAGGCTGACTCTAAAGGTTTTGGGCCTGAGAAACTAGAAAAATGGAATTGTTGTATACTGATGTGGATGGGGAAAATGGGGATAAAGAAGTTAGACGGGTACATCAGGAGCTCAGTTTTGGAATATGAGGTTTGAAATGCCAATTGGATGTCCAGATGGAGATGTCAAGTAAGTTGAATGTACACTATATGCAAGCCTGGAATTTGGGGAGAAGTTTAAAGTGAGGGTAAGCTGGAGATTGAGAGTTGTCAGCCTCTAGATGGGACTAAATCTCACCCATGGGACTGGATGAGATCATCAAAGCAGCAAGTGTAGATACAAAAGGAAGCTCAAAGATTGAGCCCTGTTGCTCCAACATTTCAAGAATGGAAAGATGAGAACGAACCAGCAAGGGAGACTAGAAGCAGAAGCTGGAGAGGTAGAAGGAAAACGAGGGCAGTGTGGTTTCTGGAAGCAAATTAAAGAGGGGTTTCAGGACCAGCTGTATGAAATACTGCTGATGGGTCAAGTAAAGTCAAGTCTGCAGATTGACCTCAGGACTCAGCACAGTGGCAGTCATTGGTGACCTTGATAAGGGCAGTTTTGCACGGGGCAGTCTGTTAAAGCCTGTCTGCAGAATGGGAGGAAAGAGCTTGATGACAGCGAGTCTGTACCCTGAAGTTTTTGCTGAGTAGGTAAGGAGAAAAATGGTGTTTGGAGGGGAAAGGGGGGTGGTGGTCAAGAGACATTTTTTTTAAGCAAGAGGAAGTAACAGATGTTGGTATGCCAATGGGAATGATCTAGTAGGGAGAGAAAAACTGATGATGCAGGAGAGGTGGGAGGCTTGCTGGGGTGATGGCCCGTGTAGGTAAGTGGATGGAGTGCAGTGCCCAAGTGGAAAGGCTGTGTTTGGCCAGGACCACAGACATTTCACCCACAGCAACAGGGGAGAAAAGCAGGGACACATGCAGGTAGGTAGGTGAATGAAGCATGGGAGCTTGTGGGAATTACATGTTTATTTTAATAGGTATTAGGTAAAATAACTAGTGCATCCAACCTGTCATTTCATGGATGCTATTGCAAAGTGGAGAAAAAAGATTAAGTGAAAAATAGCCGGGAGGTATGCAGATAAAGCACAAATGAAGATCACATTTCAGTGACTGAATTTTGGGATAGAGGAGGTTATTCTTACTTTCTTTCTGGGTAAGAAATAAGGGTCTGAGCTACGGAATGGCTGTGGAGGCAGAGAGAAGGAACAGATATGAATGAAAATCAAGAGGTAGTGTTGAGAAGATTTGGTTTTAGCCACGGGGAGTGATGAAGGGCTCTCTTTTCCAGTGTGGGGCTGACTAAATGGGATTCCCAGACACAGTGATGGGGCGCCCTCAAGAAAGAGGAGCAGGTCTAGGGCAGAGACTTTATTCTTTTGGATGCAGAGACAAGAGAAAGGTTTGAGGCACAGCTGGCTTCCCAAGCCTTCACTGAGGCTTCCCAAGAACCAGGGCCCACTGGACATGGTGATGGAGACCTGATTCAATCCAGTGAGGCAGATGAGGGGAGCCCTGCTCTGGGAGAGCCCCTGCTCCGAGGTACTAAAAGCATTCAGACAGTGCGACAGGAGGGCTGATGCTGCGGGCAATGAAAGCTTCCTGAAGAAGGTGACTTTGAAGGTCTATGGGATGGTGGCAGATGAAGGAGAGAGAGCACAGTCTGTGCGGGGGAATGGGTAGGGAGCATGTGGGGTGTGCAGGCAAGGTGGAAGGCTGGAATGCTTTGCTTATGGTCGGAGTCTTTGGCTTCACCTTGGTGGGCATCACCAGGAACGCCAGTGGAGGTGTGTGGTGGGGAAGCTCTGAGGTTAATCTGGAACTGGATCTAGGAGGGGTCTGGAATGGGGCTGGTTGGGGGGAGCAGGCTTAGTTTGGGGCAGAGAGCCCCCAACTCCGCTGATTGCCCTCATGGTCTTTCCCAATACCCACAGGCAACAGGACTTGTACCGAATCCTGAAGGCCTACACGATCTACCGGCCCGATGAGGGCTACTGCCAGGCCCAGGCCCCAGTGGCCGCCGTGCTGCTCATGCACATGCCTGCTGAGGTCAGCATACCCTGGTCCTGGCTGGGGAGGGCCTGGGAGGACCTTGGCCTACGGTGGTGATGGGGGAGCACTCTACTCCCTGTTTCTCAGGTCCCATCCCCCCGCCCCTTGTTCTTGCCCTCCTCAGCAAGCTTTTTGGTGCCTGGTGCAGATCTGCGACAAGTACCTCCCCGGTTACTACAGTGCAGGGCTGGTGAGTGTCTGAAGGCTGGGTGCACCCAAGGCTGCAGGGAAGTCCTTGTCCTGCCCCACCTGCTGCCCTTTTGTCCCTTTGCTCTGGGCCTCTCCCACTGAGGTGAGGATCCCCTCCTAGGGACAGTGCTACCCCACGGGGGCCACCGTAGGACTCTTCTCATGGCCTCTCCCACCTGCAGGAGGCCATTCAGCTGGATGGAGAAATCTTTTTCGCGCTGCTGCGCCGGGCCTCTCCGCTGGCACACCGGCACCTGCGGCGGCAGCGCATTGACCCCGTGCTCTACATGACCGAGTGGTTCATGTGCATCTTTGCCCGCACCCTGCCCTGGGCGTCAGTGCTGCGTGTCTGGGATATGTTCTTCTGTGAAGGTACTCTGGAGCCACTCAGGCCATGAGGGGTCTGGGGTTTCCACAGTGGCTGCCAGAGAGGGGCCTGCTGCCAGAAGGTACGTCTGAGGCCTAGGCTTCCCTGTCTGCAGTCCGGGGGCTGGAGAAACTGGGGCCTGGTCTTGGCTCTGCCATCATTCCGGAGCCCACTCTCCCTCCCAGGAGTCTGAAACCCATGGCAGCTTATTTCCCTCCGTGGGGCCTCCATTTCCTCATCTGTGAGGATGGCAGTAAGACGGGGATAGGGCCTGTGAGTCTCTTCTAAATGGGACAGGCTGAGATCCCAGCCCTGATCTTTTCTGTGCCCTTGCAGGCGTCAAGATCATCTTCCGGGTGGCCCTGGTGCTGCTGCGGCACACGCTGGGCTCGGTGGAGAAGCTGCGCTCCTGCCAGGGCATGTACGAGACCATGGAGCAGCTGCGCAACCTGCCCCCGCAGTGCATGCAGGAGGACTTCCTGGTGCATGAGGTAGGCCGCAGCCTGAGTCCACCCGCACCTGCTTCAGCACGTCTCCGCCCTCCCCTTCACTCTCCCCATTCCTTCTCGGTCTAGGTGACCACCCTCCCGGTGACAGAAGCACTGATTGAGCGAGAGAACACGGCCCAGCTCAAGAAGTGGCGGGAAACCCGGGGGGAGCTGCAGTATCGGCCCTCTCGGCGACTACACGGCTCCCGGGCCATCCATGAGGAGCGGCGGCGGCAGCAGCCACCCCTGGGCCCCTCCTCCAGCCTTCTTAGCCTCCCTGGCCTCAAGAGCCGAGGTTCCCGGGCAGCCGGGGGGGCCCCCTCTCCACCCCCTCCTGCCCGCAGGGCCAGCGCTGGACCTGCCCCAGGGCCTGTGGTCACCGCTGAGGGACTGCATCCATCCCTTCCTTCGCCTACTGGCAACAGCACCCCACTGGGTCCCAGCAAGGAGACTCGAAAGCAGGAGAAGGAGCGGCAGAAACAGGAAAAGGAACGTGAGAAGGAACGGCAGAAACAGGAGAAGGAACGGGAAAAGCAGGAGAAGGAGAGGCAGAAGTGGGAAAAAGAGCAGGAGAAGGAGCGGCAGAAGCAGGAAAAGAAGGCCCAAGGCAGGAAGCTCTCGCTGCGTCGAAAGGCAGATGGGCCCCCGGCCCCCCAGGATGGTGGGGACAGGTCCTCGGCGTCTGAGGCCCGGCAGGATGCTTACTTCTGACATCTGTCTCGGGGCTGGACTGCTCGGCCTCCCTCTTTTTTTTCCTCAGTCAAGAGCAGGCCTGGCCTGGGGTGCTGCCCCGAGCTTCTTGGGCAGGCCGTCACTCTTTCTGGGGAAAGCGGTTTGGCTCCCCATCTCCTTGCCAGCTGCTGATCCCTACACAGCTGGGACAGTGAGTGCACGGGGCAGCTGCCTTTCCTTGGGGCAGCCGTGAACAAATCTGGAGCCCCCTCACCTCCAGTTGGGCCCAGCTGGGGTTTCTGTCACTCCTGCCCCAGTTCCCTCTGGGGTCCTTCCCAGGTGCAGTCCTAATTGGCCTTTTGTCACCTCAGGGGTGACTCGGCGATGGGAATCAGCAGTTTTCAGATTCTTACACCAGTTTCTCCCCTTATCCGTGAGTGGAGCTGGGTTCCTTTTTCCCTTCTGCAGCTCTGCCGGTCTCCCCCTCTTCCTGCCTGGGGGCCGAGGCTCTCCTCGCTCTACTTGTGGACATCTCTCTGTTGTAATTATGTACAGAGGACCTGGTGGGTCCAGGGTGGGGGTGTTCGCTCTGTCTTCTGTCCTTTAGTTCTCCTTCCACAATGTTCTTGCACTCATTTATTTAAGGGGACATGCACTGGAACAGGCCATGTCCCCCCTCTCCCCACCGCCATCCTCCTTGCTCTTCTTTCCTCTTCACCCACCTTCCTGTGTATTCTCAGGCTTCTGCTTTGTCTCCACCAGGGTCCCCACCTTTCACCTTGTTTCCCCTGCAGCCCCCATCTGGGGAAGGGGTCTTCCCTTGAGCTCCAGGGGGTGGAACCCAATGTTTACATTCTCTTCTGTCTCTGCTCCCACCCTGTGCGGCGCTTTGAGGAACCAGAAAAGAACCTGCTGTTGTACCTGGGCCTGTCTCCCGCTTTGTTATTTGATGATGGGGATTAGAATAAGGACGGGGCAGGGGGTGGGAAACAATGGAGCAGGCCTGGATCTGGGTGTCTCCTGAAGCAGTTGGCTGGTCTTGGCAGGTAGGTACCTCTTGGTCTTTGGTCCATCTTTCAGTCACTCATCAACAGCTGTTGAGCTCCTGCTCCTCCTCTACCTGGGATCTGCTTCCATTGGGACTGGCCTGGGGCCTTCTGCGTACCATCTGCAACACCCGGATCTCCTTCCCAAAGTGCTCGTGCAACTCCTGGAAGCTGTAGGGGGTACTGAGGGTGGCTAGGAAGCCGCAGTCCTCTGGGGGTGAGCTGGGCTCCTTGCCAGCTGCCTGGCACAGCTCCCGGTACCGGGCCTCCAGGGGGGGCAATAGCACCACCAGCCGCCTCCAGCTCGCCCCAGCCAGCGCCCACAGCCAGGCTCCCAGCTCTTCCTGGTTTTCTGCTGCTAGCTTGTAGGCCCGCCCACCTGTGCCCTCAGCCCTGGGGGTCAGGATGGTAAAGGCATAGGGTTCTGTGGCCCCAAGGCGTGGCTCCACCTGGCTGTTTTCCAAGAGAATGAGGCCCAGGGGGGTGTGATCCGCCTGGTTCTCCAGGTAGAAGAGGAGGTTTCCCCGGAGGATGAACCAGCGGCGTTGATAGCTGGTATTTCGGGTTCCCTTCTTTAGCAAGATGCCCTCCCGGTCTGGAGCCTGTGTTCTGCATCCACGGAAGAAACTGAGCACGGGCTTTTGGTGCAGTTTCATGGTAGTCCAATTGGGGAGTAAACCCTGGGGGTCAGGAGAGAGGAGGGTTGGTCCTAGCCCAGTGGGATTTAAGACTCTGTCCTCAAGAGGTAACGGTCTTGTCCCCAAAGCACTGGGACCCACACCTCCCACCTCCCGCTCTGGCCCTTGGGCCAGTTTACAGACCTTGGGCAGGGGACGCTGGCCTGGACCCCTATTTGCCTGCGGCTGTGGTTCGAGAGAGGCACCGTTGCCCTTTTCCAGGCCTACCTGAGATCAGGACACAAGAGACTTCTGGCCTGGGTACCGGGCACAGGTATCACCGTCACCTTTCCGGTGATGGCTCTGCCCACCTCAGAAACCGGGAACTCGCCCAAGGGATAGGCGTGGGGTAAATGACTTCCCCTGGGTCCTAAAGAGAGCTGGGTTCGGTAAGTGCTCCCAGAGCCATCCGGGGCCTCCAGGCGGGCCGTCAGAACCCGGCCTCTCCCCAGGGAGAAGAGCAAGGCCGCACCTAGGAGTAGGACAGGATAGAACTGGACGCTGAAGGGAAAAGCAGGATCCCCAAGGAGGTGGTGAGGGGCGCAAAGCTCTTGGCCAATCCTGGGGAAGGGTGACTCAACCCTGGAGAGGGAAACAGGCCGAAACCCACTGTCCCACTCTGGCCCTCCATCAAGGTCCCGGGTGCCCCTTTAAGTAGAGTGTGCTCCACTTTCTCCCCAGAGCCTCTAACTGCTGTAGGAGGGAGTCGGAATCGCAGCCGGCCATCCCTTTCGTCTGATCAGGGTCTAAGCGTTCATACGTCCCCTGTCCTCGCCATTGTCGCCCACGCTGCTCACGTCACTCTGGGCAGGGCGGCGTGGTCTTCCCCGCTCACGGCGCACTTCCGCCCGTTTCTCCACTTAGTCCTCTAACCCGAGCGAAGCCACTTCCGGCTTTCTCTGGCGCCTTCCGCAGTTCTCTTCTTCCGGGTGGTGGCGGCCGGTGCCCCGGACGTAGCCCCGGTGAAAGCCTCTCTCTTTTTCTTTCCCCTCAGCCTCCCGTAGACCCTTAGGTGAGCGCGCGCTGGTGGGGTCCTCGAATCCCCGCGGTTCTGCCGCCCCTCTGATTTGTATATTTAGCCCGGGACAGTTGGTGGTTACCCCGCGGAGTTGGGAGTTCGGCGCGGGGAGGAGGGGGGCGGCCAGGACGCCAGGTCCTGGGTCCGCCCGGGCCCCGCGGGCTCTGAGGGAGCTGGGGGTGTAGGAGCGGGTGTCAGCCCGCGGAGCCCCGTCGCATCCAGCACTGCGGGGGCCAGGAATGGGGGGTGCGTGTGGGGGGAGCCTGTCTCCTTTCGTCAAGGGTGGGGGTTGCCCGTGGGAAACCTCTCCGCGCGTCCGCCTCTCCGGCCTGTCTCCAGCGACTCTTTTGGACCAAACCAAGTCCCGGGGGCCACCTGGCTGCCAGCTTCCCTTTCGGCCCCTGATTCTGTGCTCCCTCTCCTCCCAAGCTGGATCTAGTGCGTACCAGGTGATAATTTGTTGTGCTGGGGGCCCTTCCGCGGTGAGTAGCCTCGCCCAGTTCCCTTAATCTGCACCCTTTCACCTCGGCTCAGCTTGGGGAAGGCCCCTCTGTGCAGTCATGCCAAAGAGGAAAGTGACCTTCCAAGGCGTAGGAGATGAGGCTGATGAGGATGAAATCAGTGTCCCCAAAAAGAAGGTGAGGGGGCCAGACTCCTGCATTGTGGGGAGGAGTGAGGGGAGGGAAGAGGAACTAGAAGCTAGAAGAGAAAGAAAGCCCGTGGGGACAAAGGACGCGTAGAAAGGGCTAGCTTTTCCATGTTCTCTGGGAAATGGGTTTGGAGAATTTTCAGTCCGAGAAGGCTTTGAAGAAAAACCTACCTAGAGTATTTTGAGGAATCGCCAGTAACCTGCCTCTCTCAACTTGCTGGCTCCTCCTCACAGCTGGTGGATCCTGTGACCGGGGCAGGGGGTCCTGGGAGCCGCTTCAAAGGCAAACACTCTTTGGACAGCGATGAGGAGGATGATGATGAGGAGGGGTCCAGCAAATATGACATCCTGGCCTCAGAGGATGTGGAAGGTGAGCTAAATCCAAGAACTGAGGCTGCTGGAGGAACAGATAGGGCTTCAGGGGATGTGGGGCAAGGAAGGCCTTTGTCTCTTCCTGCTTGCTCAGCGTGGGACACCCCTGTGTTCGGTGCAGGTCAGGAAGCAGCCACACTCCCCAGTGAGGGAGGTGTGCGGATCACACCCTTCAACCTGCAGGAAGAGATGGAGGAGGGCCACTTTGACGCCGATGGCAACTACTTCCTGAACCGGGATGCTCAGATCCGAGACAGCTGGCTGGACAACATTGACTGGGTGTGGCCCAGGGGTTGACACGGCTGGGGACCTGGAGGCAGCAAGTGCTGGGCTTGGGCCCTGCTCACTGTTTGTTGGAGATAACACCCCCCTGTTTTCATATCACAGGTGAAGATCAGGGAGCGACCACCTGATCAGCACCCGCCGTCAGACTCAGAGGGAGAGGACAGCCTGGGCCAGACACCAATGAGTGCCCAAGCTCTCCTGGAGGGTCTTCTGGAGCTGCTCTTGCCAAGAGAGACAGTGGCCGGGGCACTGAGGCGTCTGGGGGCCCGAGGAGGAGGAGGAGGCAAAGGGGGCAGCAAGGGGGCTGGGCGGCCTAGTTCCCCCCAGCGCTTGGATCGGCTCTCTGGGTTGGCTGACCAGATGGTGGCCCGGGGCAACCTTGGTGTATATCAGGAGACAAGAGAACGGTTAGCCATGCGGCTGAAGGGGTTGGGGTCCCGGACTCAGGGACCCCCTGAGCCCATGCCCCCACCCACTCTGGACATGTTTGCTGAGGAAGTGGCAGAGGGGGAGCTGGAGACCCCAACCCCTACCCAGAAGGGAGGTAAGATTGGAAGGCAGAGGAGGGGTGATGGGGGCAGGGGGCAGGACACTTGAGGCCCAGATGGCTTTGCTTGTTGTTTTAGAAGCAGAGTTGCCAGGAGACGGTCTGGTGGATGTGATGTGGGAATATAAGTGGGAGAACACAGGGGATGCTGAGCTTTACGGGCCTTTCACCAGCACCCAGATGCAGGTAAGCCCCTTCCTGCTTCCTTCTGCCGCTGCTCTCCGTCCCCCCACCCGTATCAGATCTCTCCCAGCTCCGCTGTCTTTTTTTTCCTGCAGACCTGGGTGAATGAAGGCTACTTCGCAGATGGTGTTTATTGCCGGAAGCTGGACCCTCCCGGTGGACAGTTCTATAACTCCAAACGCATTGACTTTGACCTCTATACCTGAGTCTGCCGAGGGCCCAGTTTGATGTTTTCTTTCCTGCACTCTCTGGAGGAGGCCCCAGCTGCCTCAGGCAGTGAGGATTTGGGGGGCCATTTTTCATTCAATTTTTCTTTCCCAATAAAAGCCTTTAGTTGTATATTAGGGCCTTGGCTGTGCTGATGGGCAGAAGCCAAGGCCCTTCATAGCCCCTTTGGACTCGCCTCATGAGTGTTTCCTCATGAAGTTCGTTCTTGGGAGTTTCTGGTCACTTGAACCACCTCACCTTTGTTTACCACTCCTGGGGCAGAGCCAGGGCTCCCAGGTGGTCTGTGGCCACCCCACCCGGACTGCTTACCATCTAAAAAATCCCTTTGCTCACATGCTGTTCTCCAGTATTCTCGGAGCAGGCTTCCTATTTTGCTCTTCTTAGGTTTTCAGCTTTTAGAACCTCAGGGTCTTTGCAGCCAATATAAGATAGAGCACCAGAAGTGGAGATTTTAGGCCTCGAAGGGCTAGGACATCTGTTGGGGTGAGTAGTAAGCCTGGTATCCACCGGCTCCCCAGGGGTCTCAAGCTCCTTGGGGGGAACGGCAAACTCAAGGCCCCTCAAGGCCACCTGGGCCAACCATTGAACAGACACAAAGAGGTAGTGCCTCCCTGGAGCTCACACAGTGAAGCAGAGGGCTGGCCCAGACCCAATAGGCTTCTTTCCCGACCTTTTTTGGCACCTTTGAGGCCCTGAAGTTTCCATTTCCTGGGGTCTCACAGTGTGCCTGGTACAGGGCTAGTGCCTTGAAGGAACTGAGCTAGCTAGGAGGTTGATCCTCTTCCAGGAATTGAGATTCTGGGGAGTGGGGTCAGGAGGGAGACAGGCAGGTATAGTTGGACCTAACACCTCCCATCTCTCACCAGTGCCGCCTTAGACCTCTTCTCTTGCACCAGGTGAGGTTGAACCCTCCACTTTTCTATCTCGGCTGTCCATTTGGAGTCTCGGGGGAGCTGTAAAATTACTCCTCGGATTCTAAATGAATTGGTCTAGGTAGTGGCTTGGTGGTTGGGGTTTTTGAAAGCTCCCAGGGGATTCCAGTGTGCGGGCAGGTGGAGAACTACCGAGCCTGACTCCTGTGACTCGGTTTTGCCTAGAACAAGGGGCCACTCACCGGATCCTGCGGTGGTGGCGGAGCTGAGCACGTGTGGCCACGGCTCTGCTGGAGTCTGTTGCAGGATTGCTGAGCACCAGAGCCCCAGGTGGAAGGGACCAGGCTGGGAAGCAGGAAGACCGGGACAGGGTGGGGATACTTGGTGCCCCAGTGAGGGCTCCAGCTTCTGTAATAATTGGGTCCCTGCAGGCTTGGTGTTCATTGACTCCAGGATGCCTTCGATTGTAACAAGTCTTTTTCTGTCCTTAAGAAAGAAACCCCTGCCAACTACATTTACAGGAGATCATTGATTAAAATGCATCCTCATTGCAGAAATGTTCAGAAGTGAAAAACAATACAGCGGTCCCCTTTATAACCCCAATGACTGACTCATGGGAGGTGCTTAATATTTGGTGAATAGATGAAGGCCAAGGGCACAGTGCCCTCGGATATGCCATTGGTACCTCAGGCTCCGCCTCTCCAGAGCTGACCCTATCTTCCCCTCACAGCATCTTCCTGTGTTCACCGTTTTTTTGTTTGTTGTTGATGTTGAAGTTTTTGAGAGAGAGAGAGAGCTGGGTGGGGAGGAGCAAAGGGAGGAGGAGAGAGAGAATCTTAAACAGGCTCCACGCCCAGTACGGATCCTGATGCAGAGTCCCCAACAGTGGGGCTTGATGTCGGCACCCTGAGCTCATGACCGGAGTTGGAAATGAAGGGTCGGAAGCTTAACCCACTGAGCCACCCAGGCGCGCCCCAACCTCTCTGATGACACTGTGTAGGCAGAATAATGGTTCCCCAAAGATATCCATACCCTCAACAGAATCTGAGTATGGGAGCTTATGTGGCAAAAGAGACTTTGCAGGTGTGATTAAATCAATGAGTTGGGGGGAGGGGTTATTCTGGATTATTGAGGTGGGTGGGCCCAATGTCATCACAAGGGTCCTACAAAGTGAAGGGAGTCAGGAGGGTCAAAGAGGGGGAGGTGAAGGTGTTAAAGCTGTTGGCTTTGAAGATGGAAGACAGGGCCATATGCCAAGGAATGCAGTGGCCTATGGAAGCTGGGAAAGGCAAGAAAAAGTCTTCCCAGAGCCACTACAAAATGCAGCCCTACTCAGGATTTGAACCCAGTGAAAACCATTGTGGACTTCTGACCTCTAGAATCCTAATAAAGTTTGTGTTTCAAGCTGCTAAATTTGTGGTTATTTGTTACAGCCCCAGTAGGAAACCTAACATACCCCATTTAGCTGAATGCCTCTCCCCTCCCACAAACATCCCAAAGTTCTCTCTCCCTGTGGCCTTGTCCCTATTTCAAGCCCCTATCAGCATTTAACTCTCTTGCCCTTCTTAAAACAGCATGTATGCGTCTGTGTGTACATATGTACATGTATAATTTTTACTTAAGCCTTTTATATTTTACATTTGTAGATTTACAGAAAATGTACAAAAGAGTACAGTGAGCTCAGCCAGTTTCCCTTATTAACA